CTTACATAGAGGCGATCACGAATGAGTACTCCTCTCAGTGGCAGACAGCCATGGACGCAGAGATGGCTTCCTGGAAGTCCACAGGCACCTATGTCGACGAGGTTCCTCCTCCTGGGGCAAACATATTCGATGGCATGTGGATTTTCAGAGTGAAGCGGCCGCCGGGTTCTCCGCCTACCTTCAAGGCGCGTTACGTGGCTCGAGGCTTCAGTCAGCGACAGGGGGTCGACTTATTCCATACCTTATCCCCCACCCCGAAGATGACTACTCTTCGAGTTTTACTACACGTTGCAGCACAGCGTGACTACGAGCTGCACTCCCTCGACTTCTCCGCAGTTTTCTTGCAGGACAGCCTTCACGAGGAGATCTGGCTGCGCCGCCCACCTGGCTTCCCTGGGTCGTTTCCTGAGGGTACCCAGTGGAGCCTCCGGCGGCCAGTCTACGGTCTCCGCCAGGCGCCCCGCGAGTGGCACGACACACTGAGGACGACACTTGAGGCTCTTGCGTTTGCTCCTTCCACTGCTGACCCGTCGCTATTTCTTCGCACCGACACTTCTCTGCCGCCGTTCTACATCCTCGTGTACGTCGACGACTTGGTTTTTGCTACTGCTGACACTGAGGCACTCTTGTGAAGGCGGAGCTGTAGAAGAGACATACTTGCACTGACCTGGGTGAGCTGCGTAGCTATCTTGGCTTGCAGATCACCCGGGACAGAGCACGGTGCACCATCACTCTGACTCAGTCGCACATGGTGCACCAGGTCCTTCAGCGCTTCGGCTTTCGGTTCTCCTTGCCACAGTCCACTCCTCTGCCTACAGGTCACTCGCTCTCAGCTTCACATTCAGACGAGTCCGTAGAGCCGAGTGGCCCGTATCCAAAGCTTGTGGGCTGCCTCATGTATCTGATGACGTACACACGACCTGACCTCGCGTACCCTCTCAGCTTCCTTGCTCACTTCGTCGCCCCCGGGAGACATAGGAAGGAGCACTGGACTGCTGTGTAGAGGGTACTGCGTTACTTGTGCAGTACATCGGGCATGGGGCTCGTGCTTGGAGGACGGGGTTCAGTGGTACTCACATGACACTCCGACGCTTCTTGGGCCGACGACCAGGCGACTCAGCGGTCGTCACAGGGTTACTCTTTGAGTCCTTGCTCCGATTCTGTCTCTGTGCTTGGTTCCAGCTGTGAGGCCGAGATCTTTGCTGGGGCTATGGCTGCACAGGATTTACGCTGGCTGACCTACCTGCTGGCCGACTTGGGTGAGCGGCCTCGTTCTCCTCCAGTTCTATACGTCGAACATTGCTCTTCGTTACTTTCTTGCTCGGGAGCTGCGGCAGCGTGGTCAGCTGCGCCTTGCTTACATGGCCTCTCGGGCCAACACTGCTGATGTCTTCACCAAGGCCCTTGGGTCTGGTGATCATCAGCGTTTCTGCACTTCTCTAGGCCTTGTGCCTACTCTCCCTCACCTGCTGGTTGCTTGACTTGTCTTGTATTGTAATCTATGTATATATATTTGCATGCTTGCTCTTGCTAGATTATGATCACTGTACTGCTTGTGCTTTTATAACTCTGCATGTGAACTAACCTTGTGGCCGCTTGCTTGTCCTCAGAATGCGTGGTGATCTTGAGATCCACCCTAAGCTTTGCTGTGCTTTGTTCTCTTGCTTGACTGGTCTTGTGACCGTCCGTTGTGTTTGCTATCCCCCACTTTGCCTATGGGTGTGTCAAATTGCATTTTGTTATCTCTAGGCTGTAGTGGGGCATACTCTAAGGAATACAACATCTTGGGTTATTCTTAGTACTGATACTCACTCTTCCCTACTAGTCAATCATTCCTGCTTTAGTATTCTGATAGCAGGGACTGATATTTTCGTGTTAAACACACTTTTGAGGTTGGGGGGTGGAGGGGGGGGGGGGGGGGGGGGGGGGGGGGGGGGGGGGGGGGGGGGGGGTCTTATCATGATTTCACCCCAAATGGGGGGTATAACGCAAACAGCCCGTAATAAAGCCCCCCCCCCCCCCCCCCCCCCCCCCCGTATTAAAGACCCGGGTACATTATTATGGGGGGGGGGCGGTCTTTTATCCGAGGGAATACGGTAGGTCTTGGGTATCGGGACTCTGGAATATGGTAGCTTGCCCACGTTTTGTCTTAACTACCATGTGGTTTAGCTCCTTCAGAGTGTGTTTCTGCAGCCAACTTCAGTCATTATGAAAAATACTTGGGCTTTGTGGCTACCTTACAAGCCTGCATTAAGACTGGATTTATCGTGAATTAGTCGTGTACCTATTGAGTGACGGTACTTATGCAGTACACCGAGCTCCGTAGAGATTGGGTTTTGAAAATGACCCTTGGGTCACCTCGCAGTCGCCCCAAGTCAAGCACATTCGGTGCTCCTAGATCGTTACCATAAGACCCCGGTTATAAGCGCATGCCTATGATAACCACTGATAAAAAAAAGCATATGGCGCTTATATCCGGTCCTCGATGATAAGCGCACCCCGAACAGCTTACGGATTATAAGCGCCACCCTCTACTTATTTTTTTTTTTGTAAATTTTACTGAAAACGTTGCCTGAATACTGTAACGAATCTCACATTCGCAGGGCAAACAAATGTGATATTCGACACCCTTTCACCCTCGCTCGACTCATTGCCTGCGCGTCCAGTCAGAATGAGCTGTCATGGTCGCAAACTAACTCGTTTTGACTGTGTGTGTTGGCAGAGAATAACTCCCTGCCAGCATGCGCGAGATTCTCATTCACTGCCTTGTATGGTTCTGACTCGATTCGAAGCGAAAGGATGAGACGTACATTATGGTGTAAAAATCATTAGATTCCGTATAGTATGTTATAATAATTAGCCCCGACACTTTTAAATGTCAGATTATAATGCTTGTCTAGCCTGCAGTGGGGTACTCTATAGTGAGTACGGCCCCTTAGGGTTTCCTATTTGTATCCCAACTGTTGCTATTCCAACCTCTTCTTTGCCTATCTTTCTCTTGCCTAGCTAGGTAAACCCTAGCTATGGCTCCTAACTTGCACTACTCTTGTGACATGGAATCAGAGCTGTTACGCTCTTGGCCTGTGGGCCCGCCTTATGTTTCCGCTGCTACTGTTCTGCTGGTCGCGCGCCCCGGGCGCGCGACACTTTTTCATCCCGCTGCGCGCTCGTGGAGCGCGGCGGTTTTCTGCCCGCCGTGCGCCCCGGGCGCGCGCGGCGGTTTCGTCGCCCGTCGTGGCGCCCTCTCCCGTCGCCCGTCGTGGCGTCATGGGGGCCGCGCGTCCCCCCCATCCCGTCGCCCGTCGAGGCGCCCCGGGGGCCGCGCATCCCCCCTCTCCCGTCGCCCGTCGTGGCGTCACGGGGGCCGCGCGTCCCCCCCATTCCATCGCCCGTCGAGGCGCCCCGGGGGCCGCGCGTCCCCCCCCCTTCGCGTCGTCCCGTCGCGGCGCCACGGGGGCCGCGCGTCCCCCCTCTCCCGTCGCCCGTCGTGGCGTCACGGGGGCCGCGCGTCCCCCCCATCCCGTCGCCCGTCGAGGCGCCCCGGGGGCCGCGCGTCCCCCCCCCTTCGCGTCGTCCCGTCGCGGCGCCACGGGGGCCGCGCGTCCCCCCCATCCCGTCGCCCGTCGTGGCGCCCCGGGGGCCGCGCGTCCCCCCCCCCCATCCCGTCGCCCGTCGAGGCGCCCTGGGGGCTGCCCGCCGCCCCGCTTCATCTCCCTCCCCGTGCCTCCTGCGTTTGGGGGCGGCGGGTGTTGGGGTGGCGGTTGTGAGTTCCTCCCCTTGCTCCTCCTCCTCCCTCGTCTCCCACTGCTGCAGCTGCCGCTGAGAGGGGTGGGTGTGTGGGAGCCGAAGGAGTGGTGCTAGGGGGGTGACGTGGGAGTGGAGCTAGGGGTGCAGCAAGGGGTGTGTGAAAGGGGGGTGGGACAGTTGGGGGAGGTTGAACGGAGGCTGTCGTCGTGTCGTCAGCAGCACCAATAGTCCGGGGCGCTGCTCCGGTAGCCCAGTAGCAGCCTGCTGCGCCTGTCGCCCGTGGGTCCGTTGCTCCTGCCGCTCAGAGTTAGCCGCAGAGCCAGTTACTCCAGTAGTCCGGGGCGCTGTCCCGGTAGCCACTGTGCCAGTGTCGCTCCTGTTGCCCGTGTGTCTGCAGCTTCAGCCGTCGCCTCCTATCTCCTCTCCTCTTACAGTCCCGCCTCCTCCTCCTCACTTGCACTTTGTGAATGCCTCTAGCTTTGCTTGTCCTTGTGAACCTGCTCTATGCCTGCTTGCTTTGCTAATTATACCCCACTTTGACTATGGGGGTGTGTCAGATTATAATGCTTGTCTAGCCTGCAGTGGGGTACTCTATAGTGAGTACGGCCCCTTAGGGTTTCCTATTTGTATCCCAACTGTTGCTAGTCCAACCTCTTCTTTGCCTATCTTTCTCTTGCCTAGCTAGGTAAACCCTAGCTATGGCTCCTAACTTGCACTACTCTTGTGACATTAAAAGGCCTCGAATATAAGCGCACCATCTAAAAAGACGTTATTTATTTTAAACCCAGGGGCGCGTATATCAGGGCTCTCCCTAGCATTTGAGGCCGCCTGATGGACCAGACGGGCCAATTTCCAAATTTTCCGTGTATGCTCGCACTCGACGGTGCTTAAGGGGAGCACGGCTACAGCGACCCAGATGCGAACCATGTTGGGGTACGAAGACTCCCAATCTTCGCTGCGCAGCATGTGCTTGAGGCTCGAATGGAACGTCTGGTCCTTGTACTGGGAGTACATCATCCGCGTGAAGGGCACGAGTTCTCGTGCCGCCCTTTTCCAGCTGACACCTGCATGATCACACATGCGGGCACATACATATGGCGGTGGGTGGGGGAGAGGGGGGGGGGAGGTGTTAGTGCATGGCTCGGCCTGTCAACATCAAAAGACGTCAACAGCAACGTACCTGGCAGAACAAACTTGTCCGCCTTGAAGAACTCGCGAAGAGTCTGGAACCACTCCTGGCAGACGCGCTCTCTCTACGCAGAGCCATCGGGGTAAGCGTCAGGCAGAAACAGCTTCGCGCCGACGAGCGAATCAAGGCTCTCCATCCGCTTGAGGAGGTGCTTTACCACTTCCTGCGCAAACAGGGAAGTGACAGAGATGCAAGACTCCATGTCGCGCTTGGACTTCTGACCCTTGATTGCTTCCTCATGAAGATCGAGTTTGTGGGTGACTGGATTGCCTTCCCCATCCGTGCCTGATACCGTAACCTCCCTCTTGGAAGTGGGGCCATGCTCCTCCAGGAAGCGGCTCAGCAAGTGACTGTCCTCGGCGTAGTTCACGCCGTATTCAATGTAGCGAGCACGTAGCCTTCCTGCCGTGTTGTGCACCATGGCGGTCACACGGGTGATGTCCACCTGCACATATCACAAGGGGGATGTTAGTATGATTCACGGTTCTCATAATCAGATTCACGCGTAACCAGCGTTAGAGACTCACCGTCCGCCGCTGAAACTTCTGGTTCAGTTCGTTGAGCTCCTTGAGCACATCTGCCAGGAAGAACAAGAAGAAGTGAAACTTGAAGCTGGTGACCGTCTTGTAGGCGTCTTTGTCGTGCTCCCAAAGCACAACAATAGTCGCAGGAAGTACAGCCGCGAGCCGCTGGATCGCGTCGCCGCGTGACAGCCAGCTGACGTCCTTTATCCCTTGCATCTCAAGGGTAGTTGCGTGGAGGATTTTCTGCAGCTCGATGAATCGTGAGTGCACGATGATTTTGCGTCCGAGGCTGTCGGCAACGCTCCGAACAACCTGATCGACGATGTTGAGATCAGGCACTGCTTCCGCGGCGTCCTACGCTGCGAGTGCCTCCCTGTAACGTCACAGGGTTTACAAAAAAAATAGACAAGGCATCAGAACGGTGGCCGAGTGAACATACTAACCAACACTGACAGAGGGGAGATACATGCCTGTGTGCGATGCAGTGGCACGTGACAAGGTGCGGGACTCGCATCCGCAGTTGAGTCACCACTCCAGTGTTACAACCGGTCATCACGCTTGCGCCATCCGTCGCGATGCCGGTGAGTTTGCTGATGTCAACACCAGTAGTCTCCAGGTGAGCGAGCAGCACGGTCAGAAGTGACGAAGCGTCGCACCTCTCCACCGTCAAGTGAACGAAGAATTCGGTCACGACCTTAGCATCTCGGAGGAAGGATAAGTAAACAATCATGTGTTTACCCCTTCGACGGTCTGTGCTCTCGTCCAGTTGAATGCCGAGAAACGGTGAAGACTGGACGTGGCGCATCTGATGTTGCTTCAGGTTTGTCACAAGTGCCTGGGACATCTCGCAGAAGCCGTACCTGCGCAGCAGCCACAGTATTGATACGTACTCGGATTGATACGTTCCGATCGCCTTATCAGGTATATCGGGCGTACCCAAATCTGCCAACAGGCGCACAAGATCTGCAAAGCCTGAAATTGGGGAATCTGACTTGCAGATATACAGCACCGTGAGCAGGAGTTGCTTCAACCGAGCCGTCTCCTTGTCCGTGTTCTCGAAAACCGTGATGCTTCGTTGCGCGACCTTAGCGCCTTCCGCGCGCAGCTGGTTGTCGACCGCGCCGTGATGCTTCTTACTGAGGCTATGCTTCCGCATAGACTGCCGCTGAATGTCAACCCCGCCCTCGCCGAACTTCCCGTACTTCCAATGCGGAGGACCATGAGCCATGCAGATGCTGCACTTCATGCATGGCGTGCCATCTTTCCTCTGTGCAATGACAAGCCAGCTGAACTTGCCCTTCCAAAAAACTTTTGCCATCGTTTCGAGCTTTGACATCAGACTGTCAGGGTCAGGTACGTGAATGGTAGATGGACCAGGATCTCCGTGTTGATTCCCGGCCTGTGCAGCTGGCCGTGAAGACGCCTGTTCTCGCGTAGGCCGCACGGTGGGTCGAGAAACTATGCGTATGTGAGGCACACCAGTCTTTGCATAACGGAGGGTGCTCTGGGTGAAGCGCCCCACCTTATGGAACAGTGGCGCGGCGTGTGAACGTGCGGCACTATCGGACGACTGCGCTCTCTGATATTGCAGGGGACGGTGAGAAGGAGGCCCAGGCGAGACGGGAGGTGTGCTGCTTGAAACCCGACGAGCATTAAGCTTGGGCCAATTCACGGGCGCCACTTCAGCGGCTACTACGCGGGCGGTTCCTACGGCGGCTGGCGGGGCCCTACGCAGAAAGTCCAGGCCCATCATAGGTGCACGGGCCTGCGGGGGGGACTTCCTGCGTCCTCGTCATCCGCCATAGCGAGGAGACGGACGGGTTTCGAAAATGGTAGCGTCACAGCAGCAGATACTAACGTGAATGCTGTTGGAAGAGGGGGTTGGAGAAGAAGGGACCCCTGAAACCCCAGCAGCCGTGCATTTACACCTGCCTTGGACGAAGCGCGCATGTCGAGAGGACCATGGAATGGGTGGCTCCACTTGTTTGTGTGATGCCACCGCAACTTGGTTTTTGAAGCTTCGGTAGGCGCCGAATTCAGCTCTCTGCGATGTGGAAGTGGCTCTGCTGTCTCTAAACTGACCAATCCGACCCTTCTTATCAGGCCACGTACAACACACCCGGTCCTCCGTGGGCAATGTATGACGGAGACTTACCTAGTGTTGGTCAGAATCAACTTCTGCTGCAGCCTCGTCTGCAATGGTGGCCAAGTGGGTCACGTGTAGGGACGAGGTGCCAAATGAATGGTGTTCACGATCCGGTAATCGGGGAACACCCTGCATGCACGCATGCCGAGTTCACGCCTAAATCACGCCTAAGGGGAAATGTCTCGGTATCAGACGAAACCGAAACATGTTCCTGATTCATCATACAAACCACAAACTTATTCTTCATTCACAGGTTGATGTATCAGATAAACGCAAAAACCATTTATGTCTAATCAGATGAAACCTAGACCATTTTCTGGAAAACCAGATGAACAAAAAAAAAACCGTCTGATAATAAGACAAACAGACAAGAAATTTCTGCTAGGGAGAGCCCTGACGTATATCCCGGGGCTGGCGGTAATTGTTAATCACACGCGCACCCGATGTGAACATCTTCCATAAACCATGGTGTAAAGTAAAGAGAACATCATTCTTCATCCTATTTCCATGCCAATGCATGTTATCTCCTAATGGCACGCACTTCTGTGCACCGATAGCAGCAGCAGCGGCGGCGGCGGCAACAACGTACCTCCTCCTTCTGCCGGTACTCCTCCTCTACTAAGAGTCTCCGTGTCTGTGTCTGTGTGCGTGTTTGTTCATATATATGTATATATATATATATGTGTATGGTTTGTGATTTATTTATTTCAATCGGTATGTTGAACCACAACGTATTCATAGACCACAATGGGAATATTGCACATTGGAATATACGCATATTCATAAGATTGTGCAAGTTAAGCTATTAAATGTTGGAAATTGTGTTACAGCGACCCACACCCTAAGTGTTGGGTAGCATTCAGGTATAGTACTGCTTGACTTCCCCTACAGGAAGCCAATTGTGACGCGATCCACAATCCCAATCCCACCAATCGGAATGAAGTATGATCAAACAGAATGGTGTCAGTGAACTTGTAACCCAAGGTCGTGGTCAATGTGATCCATCTTCAAAGATTGCGTAATTGCCGCATTTTGGAGTTGCCTCGCACCCACATTTTGTCTCCCTCCTTTCACTCGTGAGTTCCATTGTAGTGCGGGCTTCGAAAAACAGGCCAATTTTCGCGACCTTGTTCTTCCTTCCACTACGAATTCAATTTCCGCTACTTAGCCATTGAAAACGCGACCTAGAGGCTCGAGATGCGTTTACTTATGTTCAGAGCAGTATTCACCTTGACATGAGGCTCAAGCCCATAGCAACTGTGGCAGGATCCCAATATTCACGAAGGCTGGCGAACGGGCCCTTATTAGGAGGAAATGCTTGACTTTGCCACCAATAAACTGGTGTGACGCGATCCCTCATCCCAATCCCCTTCCAGCTTTCGCCAACCATCGCACACAGCCTAGGAAACGCCCACTTCGAAGCCTCGATGGCGCCTAAAGCAACGCGTTCCCTGCAGCGACTCCCGTCGCAGAGGTCGCATATGGCCAAGGCCTTGCCGCGCCAGTCGCGGGCTGCGTCCCGCCACAGAGGTCCCTCCAACCTCGCACAGAAGCTCCGCGGAGCGCATGATCATGCGCCGCACGCTACGATGCCCATTTAAGCATCCGTGCCTAATCGCCTTCCTCACCTCTCCTGCTCTACCACTAAGCACCAACATTGTGAATTTTCCGTAAATCACCCCTCCACTAGCAGCAATCCGTTGCACACCTGCTACTCCTTATCTCGCCTGTCAGCGCTCTGCTAGCCTCTCGCGCAACCAACTTCTCCGCGCCTCCCCTCGCCACCCGAACCAGCGCCGGCTTTTGAACTCGTGCGTGCGATCGAGGGGGAAAAGCGAATGGCGGCCCCCGGAAGCAGCACTGCTGGCAGCAGCATGGGGAACGGCAAGGCCGTGCGTGCGCTGCTCGCCATCGTAATTGGAGTGGCATATTGCCCGAAACCGTCTGTTTCCGCGCAGGTTGCGATCTGCCGGTTACGGGCCTGCTTTGTGCTACAGTACCCTCTAACATAGGGATGTAAGCGGTCGAAGTTGGTGACTTGCGCCTGTTTGGGGCGGTTGAAAATCGAGCAGTTTACGGTGGCGCACTTCTTGGCCATTTTGGTACCACCCAGGTTTAGGTGGGGAACGAGAGGAGCTTGAGAAATAACAAGGAATGGGGTTGAGTAAGGGAAAGTTGGGTACAAGTACAAACCCTAGAAAAATGGACCCCATATGTGCTACCCCACTGTAGCCTACAGCAGCTATGTCATATAAATCTGACACACCCCCATAGGCAAAGTGGGGGAGAACAAGGGGTCACAAGACCAGTCAAGCAAAGCAAGGCAAGCTCAGGGTGGATCACAAAGTCACCACACATTCCGAGCACAAGTTCAAGGCCAGAAGGCCAGTTCACATGCAGGATTACATATATATATAAGGCTAGACAAGCAAGAGCAGGTGTATATATATATGTAACAGTACAAACAAGGTCAAGGGGTGAGCAAGTGAGGCAAGGCAGGCACACGACCAAGCTGAGTACAGAAGCGCTGATGATCACAAGGCGCAAGTGCCTTGGTGAAGATATCAGCAGTGTTGGCCTCAGAGGCCACGTACGCAAGACGCAGCTGACCACGCTGCTGTAGCTCACGAGCAAGGAAGTAGCGAAGAGCAATGTGCTTCGTTCTGTGCTCCAGTCTCTGCTCCCGACACAAGGCCAGCATGGCCTTGTTGTCTACGTACAGCACTGGAGGAGAACGAGGCGGCTCTCCGAGGTCAGTCAGCAGGTAGGTGAGCCAGCGAAGCTCCTGTGCAGCCATGGCTCCTGCGTAGATCTCAGCCTCACAACTGGAGCCGAGAACAGAGGACGAGCGGGTAGCCTGCCACGAAACAGAGCCGGAACCAAGGCTGAAGGTGTAACCCTGTGACGACCGCTGCGTAGCCTGGTCGTCAGCCCAAGAAGCGTCTGCGTGCCCAGTGAGGACCACTGGACTCTGCCCTCCAAGCACAAGCCCCATGCCCGACGTACTGCACAAGTAGCGCAACACCCTCTTCGCTGCAGCCATGTGCTCCGGTCTGTGTCTCCCAGGAGC